ACACTGCACGTGGGCATCTCAACGCTGGCAGTGGTCCCAAAGTCTGGAAGTGTTTTACCCTAAAAGCATCAACTGCAAGCAATTTCTAAGTCTGTTTTGCCTCTGTCCATGACAAGAACCAACTTGTTCCAAAATTCTATAAAATGTTTCTTTCATGTTAAACGCTGCTGTTTCTGGGAATGCTAAAAGCTAGAACTCTTCACATATGTGGGAAAAGTTATATTTGGACCTTTCAGTTCTGTAGCAGAAAAAAAGAGACATTTTTAAAGAACTTTGCCGCTGTGGCTTATTTCAAAAAAAAGGCTTTCTAACTTTAAACACGTTTGAAAGGCCTTCTTTCCCTATACATGTGTTTAAAAGTTCAAGGCTTTGTTTCTTAAAAAACAAAACAAAACTGTATTTGGGTAACTAATCAAAGTTCACTGTGTGTTTAAACAAAATTATGGAACAGCCTGTATTCCTCTTTATAGATCTTTTTTCTTAGTCATCTCATTTATAAATATATGAGTTTTACATTAGGAATTTTCATTTATCATTCTTTTTCCTTTTTGCTGGGTTGGGGGAGGGGGATGGAACTTGGGGCCACTTCCATGCGAGTCAGGTGTTTATTACTGAGCTACTCCCAACTTCAAGATTGAACCTTTTTGTTTTGTTAGGGTTTTTTTGTCGTTGTTGTTGTTTTGTTTGTTTGGATTTTTTCTTGTTATTGTTTTTGAGGTAGGGTTTTTCTGTGTAACCCTGGCTGTACTAGAACTCACTCTGTAGACCAGGCTAGCCTCAAACTCACAGAGATCCATCTGCCTCTGCCTCCTGAGTGAAGGTTGTACTTTTTTAAAGATAATGAAAAATATGGCTATTTGTTTTTTTATCCCTGTACCAAAATACCTACAGGAACCTAAAAGGACTAGAGGTTTCAGAGATCCATGATCAGCTGGCTTTACAGCTAGGGCCTGAGACAAGACAGAAAAGCAGTGGGTGAAGCACATAGCAGAGGGTTCACAACAGCAAACAGTTGGTTTCTGATGGTAATGACAACCTCTGAATTACATTTATTTATTTATTTTACAGCCCTACCACAGTTTCCCCTCCCTCCTCTCCTCCTGTTCCCTCCCCTTCCCCTCTGTGCCCCCAGTCTACTCCTCCTGTTTCTGCTGCATTACTTTTTAAGTTGTCTTTCCTATCCTTGTGAGCAAAATAAAAAGTACAACACACAAGAGCTCACTCCTTGTTTCTTTCCTTTAGCCTTTTCCTCAACTGTTAGATTTCCCCAAACACACACGGAAATGGCCAGTATGAAGGAAGGAATGGAATGTTTTCACATTCGGTATTTAACTGGTAGCAATCCATCTTCCTGATTCCACGCTGGGCTTAAAGTTCCTATGCACAGTTTCTTATGTTTGTTTTTCAGGCTATTTTTTTTTTTTTTTGGTTTTTCAAGACAGGGTTTCTCTGTGGTTTTGGAGCCTGTCCTGGAACTAGCTCTTGTAGACCAGGTTGGTCTCGAACTCACAGAGATCCGCCTGCCTCTGCCTCCCAAGTGCTGGGATCAAAGACGTGCGCCACCACCGCCCAGCTTGTTTTTCAGGCTATTTAGGACAAATTTCTAAAATGAATTTATGAGTTCAAGCAGTAAGACCTTTGAGAGAGTTACAAACATTTGCATACTGCTTTTCAAAGCTTATAAATTGTATACTTCCATCTCTTTTGACATGGTCAAATCACTGCATCCTCAAAAACATTGGACATTTTTTAGTGTTATAGTATTTGGTTTTAATAAATGAAGTTTTCCTGGAGATCAGAAGGCAAAGCAGCCACCCTAGTCAGCCCTACAGGTCAGGGAGTGGTGACACATAACTTTAATCCCAAGACTCAGAAGACAGAAGGATCTCTGTGAGTTCAAGGCTACCCTGGGCTACACAAAATCAATCCAGAAACAGATCCAGGTGGTGGTGGTTCACACCTTTAATCCCAGCTTTTGGGAATCACACAGCTTTAATGGAGAGAGGTGAAGACAGGAGCAATATGGCTGGGCAGAGAGAAGAATATTTTTTGTTTGTCTGAGAGTTGGTAGAGGTAAGATCTCTCTAGTTGCTTGACTGCTTTGCTTTTCTGATCTTCAGCTTGAACCCCAATATCTATCTCTGGGTTTTTATTATCCGTGCAACAGAAATTTCTCTTCTTAAAAGAAAATCAATTTAAGCACCAAAAGGAAGACTGAAGGACTGCTGGGGGATATCAGGAACAAAGCCCATGTCTCTCTCATACTAAACAAATACTCTGAGTCACAGTCTCAGTACTCAAATGTTTCATCACGAGTTTACACATTTTAAAGGTCACTGCATTTGTCTGTGCTTTCAAACTCTACAAACTTTTAGTCACTTTTCCAGGATCCCCTAATATTAAGTTGCTATACCTCAACATAAAACTGCTGCTTGACATCCAGAAATTTAATGTTTATACAGTCCAAGAAACCTTACTTACTATAACTTTCCCACTATTTTTATTCTTGGAAAATTCTTTTCCATTTTGACATAGCTATTGATATAGTTTCAGTGCCTTTGTTGAAGATACCATGCATTTCAGACAGAACTTGGGGAAATAGAGTTGGAACTGACCTGCAAGCTTCCTTCCCAAGGACTAGCTCTAGTGATACCTGAAGATGCTATGCAAGCTGTCAGGGGAAAAGAGAAATCAACATTCCTACCCAGCTATAAAACTTATAAACCTCAGTGATACCTTTCTGACAAGATACCCCCATGGTACAATAACAGCACAAGGGCACTTTATCATGGGAATGACCAACATTTGTCTAATAGAATTCAAGGTCTACTCAATAGGAGGGAATGCACACCCAGTACTATAAACTTAGCCAATATCTATGGCTAGAGAGGTCCAAGACCCTAGGGGAGAACCCACAATTGCCACAATCAATATAATTTCTAACCATATTCTAAAAGCTTATTCTTATACCCAAAGATAAGGGTAACTCTCATCCCTCCACAAGAAAACCCTTCTTTTTGTAGTAAATAGAGAGCATTATTGAGATATACAACTGGTCCACATGTAGAGAATATGTGACCACAGGTGCTTAGCCCCAACTGGTTTTCCTACAATGTAACTCCTACTCCTAAGGCCCAGAAAAACCATGGAAGAGGGGGAAGAAAGATTGGAAGAACCAGATGACTCAGGACACTTGTTGCTAGTATCTTCTAGACATGACAGAAAACTGTACCTATGAAATCTCAACAAGACTTGCATAGTGACACCACCAGTCGACATGCCAATGCACATGACGGAAATTTCACAAGGCCCCACCCCTCGATGAAAAGAAGAACTACCGGCAACTAATAGTGGCTGACAGAGGGAGAATCAGTTTTCCCCAAGAACGAGCATCCAGATAGGTTATCCAATCCCAAGTGGTCAACCCTTAACACGTGTACAGCAATATGGCTAGGATTAAAGCCATGGCTTTGATGGCTGGATCCAGCCCACTCCTTAGCTTTATTCTGATAGTCTAGCCTCACGGCAGAAGTACTGGCTGGAGCCATGTTTATTGCCACAACTCTATGGCGTTTCAAGGTCTCTGCCACCAGCAAAAAGCATTCAGTCAGTTTTTTCACCAATACCATTTAAGTGTTTCATGGCAGGACCTCTTATAAGAGCTGCAAGGTTTTGCGGCTAAAGCTGAGTCAGGAAGCCTTTCTTAAATGAGAGCGCTTGCCTCTAGCAAGCAGAGCCTACCCGAGAAAGTGCTGCTATCAGCTGTGCTTAACTCTTATTCTTTCCTATCTAGAATAACTTCCCAAGCTCTCTAAGGCTTTAAAGTGGATTCAGTCAGCCCCACATTGGCACATCATTCTGTTGACTGAAGTTTGTGTCCTACCAGGTCCCACATCTATTTAGTCCCAAGTAAACACACAGAGGCCTACATTAATTATAAACTGATTGGCCTAGTAGCTCAGGCTTCTTATTAACTCTTATAACTTATATTAGCCCATAAGACTTGTCTGTGTTAGCCACGTGGCTTGGTACCTTTCTTGACAAGGCAATCACATCTTGTTTGCTCTGTGTCTGGATGAAGACTGCAGACTGAAACTTCCCTCTTCTCAGAATTCTTGTTGTTTCACCTCTACTTCCTGCCTGGTTGCCCCGCCTATACTTCCTGCCTGGTTACTGGCCAAACAGCATTTATTTAAAATACAAGTGACAGGGTACAGACCATTGTCCCACAGCACAAACCACTAAACACTAATTGATAATTATTTCTGGATAACTTCCTGTTTAGCACATAACACCACTCAACTTATCCTTTTCCCTGGAAATTGACATCTTTCCTTCTAAAAAATGAGGAGTACGAGGATTCTAAGATAGCTGGAAAAATGGGAGGCCCTTACATCTTTCTTGCTAAAGGCTAATTCACACATATAGTCCTCATGTAAATCTGCAAGGACCACTTCCAGGAGACCACGACATTCTGTTGCCGATATAACTGCAGCAGCACAAGGAGCTGGACCTGCTCTACACCTCTAATCCTGCACACAAGGAGCCGGACATGCTGCATGCCTCTAATCCTGCACACAAGGAGCCGGACATGCTGCATGCCTCTAATCCTGCACACAAGGAGCCGGACATGCTGCATGCCTCTAATCCTGCACACAAGGAGCCGGACATGCTGCATGCCCCTAATCCTGCACACAAGGAGCTGGACCTGCTCTACACCTCTAATCCTGCACACAAGGAGCCGGACATGCTGCATGCCCCTAATCCTGCACATAAAGAGCCGGACATGCTGCATGCCCCTAATCCTGCACATAAAGAGCTGGACATGCTGCATGCCTCTAATCCTAGCACTTGGGAGGACAGTGGAGCCCAAGCTCAAGCTTGGCCTGTCTTATACAGCAAGTTCCAGACCGTATAGGACATCAGCAAACACCAGCAAAGATAATCAACAGGTAAACTCAACGAAGGCAAGATGGCGAGCTGTGGGAAGCACCACCTACCTGCTTTCCATCCAGGGTACACAGCCTCTTGACCACGCCTGAATCTAGTTTAATGGCTTCGGTGATATCTGTTAGGACCTGCTCAAAAGAATGGGCAGTCTTTTTATTGAGAAGGATCCGCACGGCCTTCCTCGGCTTCACTCCACTTCGAATCACAGTCACTAACTTGGGCTTGATGAAGTCCTTGCTTTCTTTCACCTCACTCTTCACAGAGGCCACGACCAAGGCTCGGGTTGTACCTCCCTTGATGTTCACAGACCAGTTTGGATTAACATTTTTGGTGTAATCAACTTTACGAAATGGTTCATTGGAGGCACACACGTAACTCTCTCCTAAAAAGCAAATAACAATTTTACTAGCACAATATCAGATCTCTGAGCATTGGCCATAATAAGCCTGGATGCATTATGTCTAAACAATGGCTTCTGGAAATCTGTAACTCCTAAACTTGTGGTCACAAAAAGGGGGTGCAGTATAATACCCCTTTCCTTTAACATCCACCCACCTCCCTTTCTTCCAAAGTACCTAGGTTGGTTTTCAGAAAATTACAGGTATAATGTGAAAAGCTCTAGGCCCAGAAATGAAGAGTGAGACCTGGGTTTTATTTTACCCAAATGTCTCACACCTTTGATAAGTCATTACTCCACACTTTGATTCTCAGGATCATTAGCTGCAGAATTAAATAAATCAAGTAACTAAATTACAAAGTACTTCATAATTCCAAATGCAAACTAATTTATTCTTCATAAAAGCTCATCTTAGCCAGCCATGGTGATATGGTAGAATCCTGTAATCCTAGCTACTCTGAAGGCTAAAGTGGAAAGATCTGAGTTCAAGGCCAGCTTGAACTCAGCCTGAACTGTTACTACAAAGGGAGAGGGATTGTACTGGGTATGGTAGCTCAAGCTTGCAGTCCTAGGAGCAGAGGTTAAGGTAGAAAGATTGGCACCAAGTTTAAGGATACTCTAGGCTATGCAAGGAGTTTCAGGCCCATCTAGGCTACACAGTGAGACCCTGTCTCAGAAATAAACATAAATAGTTCATTCTGGTTGAAATATTTGAAACAAATATATTCATAAAAATTAAAATCCTTCTAATTTCATTCAAACAGCAATCACTACATTCTTATACAGTGGACTTATTATATTCAGATGTAGTATCATCCATTCAACTACTGAAGCACTGTGAAGTGAAAGGCTTGGCTCCTCAAAGCAGCATAGTGCTGGCACTGTTTTCTCTAGAGGAATATAAATTTAAAATAAAACTAAAACTTCAAGTGGACAACTTTTTCTATATCTTCTTAAATGGGAGCAGATATTAAGCTAAAATGATACAGTCATTTCTCACAAAGCTTAATCAGGCTTTTGTTTAATTAAGAAGGGCACAGAGGCTATACTGTTTGCTTATCGTTTATCGATATCTAAATTTTTTACATTCCAAAATTTCTAAAATTCCTACTGAAAAGATGGTACTTTTCCAAGAAATATATAACAATTATATTGGTACTGACTTTTTGACATGGAAGGTTACATGCTAAGATTTTCTCTGAGATATAATCACAAAGAACACATTATTTCATATACTTAGTACAAATAGATTCATTCTTGATATAGTAATCATATCAGATGAGTCATAAATGTTTTAACCAAAATAATGAAAGAGAAAGCCTGAGGATAAGCTAATAATGTCAATATTGACTATTATCAAAATGTTCTCCAGGACCTGATTAGTAGAGAACCTCAGAGATGCCCAAAGGCTCCTGCACAAGTGACAGATCAGGGATGTGGAAAGGAATTCTGAGGACATGCCATGTCTTCTGTGTAGACGAATTGTTAGGGTTCTGCCTGGGAGACGCAGGGAACCAATCCTAAACTATAATACCACTCCTACAGCAGCACCCTGAAGTCTTCCCCAACCATCACCACCCAAGTTGTCATCCCCATAGAACCATTTGACAGTATGGTCATAAGAAAATTGTACAGAATTTCAAAAATAGTTATCAAATTAATAAAGCCATGCAATGCACATGTATGTATTAGTGAGAAAAATATGATGGTGCTATCATTGAATTTTACAGAAAAAATAAGAATCATATCAAAAATTCTTGCCATTTTTATTTTTGATGAAAACTTGATGAATGTTCTGACTCAAAATGTGTAATAGAAGACTATGTAAAAATAACCTTAGCAAGAGAAGATAGTTGTTTCTTAAGACACGGAGATATTAAGTCAGTGGTAAAGTCTTCTTAAAGATAAAAAAACAAGGTAAAAAGAAAGTGAGCAAATTTTCTATGTCCATCTCCTTTGATCAACCAGACCCTGCACAGCTGACAAACCACCCAGGACACACGCTTTTCAACTCATGTCTTAATTTCCTTCTACACATGGGCTTGGAAGAACAGAAACAAACAGGAGAGCAAGCCCTTCATGTGATTGTCTAGTTAGAGGTAGTTAACTCCTTCCCTGTCCCCATTTTCCCTTCATAATGTTCCTACTAGAAACATGTAGAGCAGTTCTATAATTTGGGAGTTCTGAGTCAAGGTGTCCACAGAATAGAATTTCACGCTTCAATGGTGTGCATGTGCACACATACAGTTTTCTGCACACTGAGCTTACAAGCTATTGGTTTCTCATAATCATTCTCTAGTTAGTTAAGAAAGTTTTAGGTTTTTTTTATAAATTAGGTGATCTTGTTCCTTCAGCAGATCTAAGCCTCACCCTGGTCCAGCTGAAACAGTCACTGGTAGACAGGTTATAAAAGCATACGTAAGGTTTTTACTTTCCCTAGTTGCTCTGAAAACAAACCCTGGTTATAATCTAGGACATAGATGAGTGGTTCTCAACCTTCCTAATGCTGTGACCCTTTAATATAGTTCCTCATGCTGTGGTGACTCCCAACCATAAAATTATTTTCATTGCTACTTCATAACTTATTTTGCTACTGTTATGAATCATAAGTAAATATTTGTGTTTTCCAGTGGTCTTAGACACTTAGACAACCCCTGCAAAAGAGTTGTCCAACTTCCAAAGGAATCACAACCCACTAGTTGAGAACTGCTGACCTAGACACTTCTTCCAACACCTTTGCTTTTTTAAAAAATCTGTTCTTCCTGGGGGCCCTCAGTGCTGTGCTGGTTGCTTATGGGGTGAGTGTGAGTATCTCTTCCTCCTCCTAAAATAGAAGCTTTGAAGTTTTCTACTATTGAGAGTGATGCTGGCTGTGGGAGAGCTACATATGATTTACAAAGTAGGAAATTCATACACCAGCAGTTTGAGACTACTTGTGTGTAAGTCAATATAGTTCTCACATTTGCTATAATTTAATTATTTAGGTCACTAACTAGTTTATAAATAATCCTGACATTCAAGTCAGAAATTCTGTGACATGAAATCTGGAGCCCATGGTTGTACTTCATTCTTGTAGAAGGAGCAGGCAGACAACCTTATGAGGAAAACAAAACCTGATTAAACCTGAAACACAGGCTCTTCACTCCTGGAGAAAATGACAGACATATTGATAGACATGCATTCATCACACTTAAACAAGGGAATGCAGAAGAAAACATGGAAAGACAGTTAAGGCTTAATACCTGTAAATCTTAGGAATTTCAATGCTTTCCTAATTTCCAAATCTAAGGAAAATTTTCCCGAAAAGAAAGCAACTGAGGAAAACCACATTCAGGTATGTGTGCTCTTGGTGAAGCCTAACGTGGGTGAGCTTCTGAGTGCATTGTAGTCAAACGTGCTCATTTCCATCAGGAGATGAGTACCCCACATAGCTGCTAAGAAAAATACAGAGCAGGAAAGAGTAAGACTGTTTTATTAGTTTACTGTGACAAATGATTTAATTGGGTTTTCTAACCAAACTGTGCACTGTCTGAAGTAAAAATTATGGGAATCATCAAGATAACACAAAATCCACTGCTCCAGCTGGGGTACTATGTGCACTGTACCCCTGTGTCAGGCCCCAGGAGCATCCCTGCCACTTCCATCTGCGGTGGACACAAAATGAGGTGGGTGACCTCTATGACCACATTTTCAACACATCTGAAAGCTAAGCACAGTCCTCTCCTCAAGATACACCCAACTGTTGGGTTTATGAAGCTTTCCACCAGGGAAAGTGAAGAGAAGCTACTGTCAACGCAGATCTCAAGAAAGGTATGTCTATATACTGAGGTTTCCACATAGAGACATAGGAGTGGGAGCATGATTAATAAAAACTCAGAGACAGGTATTAGGGTTCAACCTGAAGACCAGAAAAGCAAGGCATTCAGTCACTGGCTCTGACCTTAACCTCAGTCCAAAAATGGTGATCCTGCCTCCAGGAAGTCTCAGAATGAGACTGTGACCGAGAGCTGTCTGCTCCTGTTTTATAATCATCTCTAATTCTGGGATTAAGGGCATGCACCACTACTGCCTGGTTTCTTTGGTAAACTAGTGTGGTTACTGGGATTAAAGGTGTGTGCCATTGTAACTACTGGGATTTAAGGTTTATGTCATTGTAACTACTGGGATTAAAGGTGTATGTCATTGTAACTACTGGGATTTAAGGTTTATGTCATTGTAACTACTGGGATTAAAGGTATATGTCATTGTAACTACAGGGATTTAAGGTGTATGTCATTGTAACTACTGGGATTAAAGTATGTGTCATTTGCTGCATAGTCAGTAAGACTGGCCAGTGTGGCTGTTTTACTTTTCCAAGCTTCAGGCAAGCTTTATTTTTTTAAAATACAAATAAAATGACACTAGAGAAGTTTGTCTTAAGACCTAAGAAATTAGCTAAATGTGAAAATAGAAATTCTACTAATGAGACCAAAAATAATTCTCATACAGTAGTGTAAACTAACAGATCCTTCAGATCCCCACACCTGGTCAAGGGTAAGATATCCTTAGAGTTGACAATGGGAATTTTAATCTTGAGTTGGTTTTTATGATAAAATGTATGAAATACATCTAAATAACTACTTCTAAATGAAGCACAGCCACACAAATTCCTGCCCAAAGCTCTAACTCTTTAGGTGCAAGGTATGTGACTTGGACAGGAATTAGTTGGGAAAATAAGATAATACCTAATATAAAGATATGCTCACAGCAAGTTAAGGGCAGAGAACATACACTTACTAGGAATAGAAGTCAGTTAGCTATATAGCTGGCTCAGTGCATGGCATTCTGAAGGGCATTGCATCAATTCTGCACACCAACATAGCATTAAGCACTGAAGGGAACCGTGAATAGCAGTTCAGTTAGCACAAACAGTACCTGCAGCTTTATCCTGCTAGCTTACATTTTCACAGGTCGTGAAGGTCGGCCAGTTCTTTCATGGCCACTGT